CTGAGGGGCTGGGAGGGGTAAACTGAAGTCCTAGGGAGCCTGTGCTGAGCTCTGGCTGATTGCTGGTGCCTCAGGTGACTCAACCTCCAGCACAAACAGGAAGGCACTAAAAGCTGGGACATGCTGTGCTGGAAATGCCCCCATTCCCAGAGGAATGAAAGCCAGGCAAACTCATGTTTAGCCAGACAAGTACCCCCATGATGGTGTGCTCAGGTGGGGAGCCCCCTGACATGGCTGGCTGAGCTCAGCCTGGCCAGGGTCAGGCACTGCCGGCCGTGGCCCCAGCAAGGGCATCTCTCTTCTGCCATCTCTCCTTTCCCATGGAGTCCCATTGAGGCACCATCAGCTGGAGAGCAGGGCACAGGGGGTTGCAGCAGGGCACAGAGGGTGACAGCACCTCTGCCTATGCTGAGTGGCAGCCCCAGCCACTCACAGAGAACTCAGCCACATCCCTGGAAGGAGCAGGTGTCTGTGCTGAGGCTCTGGCACAGAGCACATCAGCTCCAGGCACGAGCAAGTTTAGTGGAAAAGAAAGCAAGAGACAGGGAGAGCTTTCTCTGCCATGGAAGATGAAGCAGGTGACTAGCCCCAGTGCCGGGAGAGGAGTGCAGTCTTGTTTATCTGAGGAAACAAGTACACATAGATTTTGGACACCAGCAAACCACAGCAGGAACAGATGTCACCTCTGCAGAACTCAGAGTGCAAAGCAAAGGATCTGTCCAAATAAGCAGGTTCAATGCACAAGCAGCTGCATGGGGAACCAGCCCAGCCCAGCCCAGCCTGGTTGTCCTGCCACGCTACCACTTCTCTTTCACCTCTGTCCTTCTCCAAAGTGCTGGTCTCCATGTATTCATCCTGCCTTGAGTGCCCCCAGGGACAGAGGCACATGGTCAATTTTTAAGGAGGGTCAGATCCCTTCAGCATGACCAGACCTGAAAACGGTATTTTCAGTAACTTGAAATAACCAGATAATCCACCAGATGCAGAGCCAGGGTTTGCTGTGGGGCAGCAATAAGTTCCTCACAATTTAATGCCAATTTTGCATGTTACAGCCTGTGTGGGGTACCATCATCATGTCAGGCCATGGGCAGCATGGGACCAGGTGTACCTGTGAGATGAGGCAGGTGCTGACTCTTCTCTCTGGTGATCAGTGACAGGACCCAAGGGAATGGCATGGAGCTGTGTCAGAGGAGAGTTAGGTTGGATATCAGGAAAAGGTTCTTCCCTTAGGGGATGTTTGGGCACTGGAACAGGTTTAGGTCGGATATCAGGTAAAGGTTCTTCCCCCAGAGGTGTTTGGGCACTGAACAGCTCCCCAGGGCAGTGGTCACAGCCCCAAGGCTGACAGAGCTCCAGGAGTGTTTGGCCAATGCTCTCAGGCACAGGGTGCATTGTAGGGTTGTCCTGTGCGGGCCCAGGAGTGGGACTCTATGATCTTAGAGGTCTTTTCCAACCTTAATCCAGTAATTCTGTGATCCTTGTGGGTCCCTTCCACTTGGGACATTCTAGGGTTCTATCATTCTTTGTGGTGTGGGACAGGAGCTCAGAGGAGGGGAGAGGATGTCCCAGGCAAAGGGGAGACCAGGTCTGACTGAGAGCCCTGACTCCCCACCATGCTGGTGTCTTTGGCTCAACCCACACCTGGGTAAACACAGAGACCTTTGTCCCAGGTAAAGCTGGATGAGGCCAAGGCACCTGAAGACTCTTGCCTGTATTTCTACATCCTCTGCAGTTGGTGTGGACATGGGCTTCAGCCCAGCAGCATGGGGAGACAGGACTTTTCCTCCTGCTGCTCCAAGGGGAGGCACAGGCACAGATTCTCCAGGAGAGACAGGTCCTGCTATCACCTATTCCAGCTGGACAGCAAAGCTGGTCCCCACCATGCAGTGGGGGAAATACTCCCTGTAGGTAAAGTGGCAGGTGAGCACAAAGAGGAGAAGGCAGGGAGTGCATTACTCACCCAGCAGTTCAAGACAGCCACTTCCAGGACAAAGGAGAGAGGTTTTTCTAATCCACCCCTTTGAACAAAAGCCTCTGAGCTGGGGCCACCTGGATGAGGGCTGAATGGGATCAAAGGAGCAGGAGAAGGGACTTGCGGGTGGCTCTGAAATGGTGCCCAGGGGTGTGGGGTTTGCTGGTGGTAAGGCTCAGGGCTGCTCAATGGCTTTGTTCAACGTGATGAGCACATCTGGGAGCCACGGGTGGGCGTCATTGCAGCTCCATATGTGGTTGGGAAATAACAGGAAGAACAGAATGAGCCTGGAGACACTGCAGTGGGCTGGGGTCCAAAGGGAGGGATTAAGGACAGGGTTCTCTGCTCCCATCTGTGAGCTCCTCGGTCAACAGCAAGTGCAGGAGCTTTCAATAACCTTGGGATTGGGATGAGCCACCAGCATGGGCCAGCCATGAGCAATGCACAAGCAATCCCACAACATACTCCAGAGCTGCTACAGCATTGCACTGATCTCAGCCCTGGCAGAAGCCCCAGAGGGCCCTGCCCTGTACCTGAGGGAACACTGGAGGGCAGTGGAGGGGCTCTCTCTGCCTGGGCAAGAGCCAGTAGGCAGAGAGAGGGGGTGGCTGGAGAACAGCTCAGTCCCTGTGGCAGCCAGCAGCACATCTGGGACGGTGTAAGTCTGCAAAGGTGTCCCCAGCAGGAGACTGGCCCCTGACTGTGTCTGCCCCTTGGTCTTGGCTTGGGCTGAGGCTGCTCAGAGGGGACTTGGCTGAGACAGCAGGTGTATTTTTTGGAGAGTGAAGGCCACTCTGCATGCCCAGAGCTGCCTCTTCCTCAGGGATGTCTGGCAGGCTGAGTCCTGCACCAACCAAAGGACTTGGATGCCTGTGCTTCCCCAATGGCTGGGGCTGACTCTCTCTCCAGCACCTTGTTGTCTTGCACGGAGGAGTTCTAAAATTGTGCAGGGTACCAGGAAACTTCCCAGCAGCCTATCAAGCTGGGGAGCGCATCCCTTAGTCCAGCAGAGATGTGTCAACCCGGAGACAGAAATATGCTCAGGATGAGCCCATCCACATCTGCACCTGCACAGCTTCACCTGCACATTTTCACCTGCACATCAGGAGCCAGACAAGGCTGGAAGGGAAGCAAGCACCTGCTAGGAATTGCTGGGGGATGCCCACACCAATCCCAGCGCTGATTAAGCCCACAGCACACACATGTGAAGTGTTTTGGGGTGTTTTGGGCAACGAGGCTGCAAATCCAACGAGTGTTTCCATTAGTAGTGGAGAAAAATAAGGGGGTGCAATAACTCCTCTCAGTCAGGAGCTCCCTCCTGACCTAGGGCAGCTCTTGCTGAGCATCTGCACCCTGTGCGTGGGAGCCCACTAATGTATTCCAGCCGTGGCTCAAGGCCCAGAGCTTGTCCTCTCAAAGGCACTAAAGGGCTGGAAGGACCTCAGTGTAATTCCCCTCCTGGCAAGGATCCCTGCCTGGAAGGAAGATCAAACCCAAGTACAAGGCTCCATTCTTGCCTCGCTTTATAAACCCTTTTCTGTCACCTGTTTCCCAGGGCAGCGTCTCTGTGATGCCAGCCCAGGGGAGCTCCATGGGCAGGGATCTGCTCCCTGTTGTCCTGGCACTGAACCAGAAGGGTTCAGAAACCCCACCAGTTTCTCCTGGCTGTCTTGCCAGGAGCCCTCTCCTGCTGCGGCTGAGGGCAGGGAGGTGTCAGAGCACTGGGCAGCCCCTCGGGCTGACAGGCACCCTGTGCTGCCAGCGCTGCTCCTGCAGCCGTGGCACAGTGCCTGATGAGCCCTTTTCCCAGGCTCATGACAGGAGCCTGTGGATGCTGGCACGGGACACCAGACCCGCTGGCAGAGCATCTGTCCCCTACACTGGGGTCCCAGGGCAGAGGTGTCTTCTTGATACGGTCACATCCCATCAGGTCTGGGCAACCCCTGTGCATTCAGCTGTCCCTAAACCTGTGGGACAAGGGTGAGTGGGCAGGAGCAAAGCACATGACATGAAGGAGGGAGAACCACACACAGACCCTCATGGGTAGCCTTGGTGTGGGGTTGGTGCCTTGCAGGGACCTACAAGAGAGCCAGAGAGGGGCTCTTTATCAGAAACTGCAGTGATAGGACAAAGTGTAATGGGTTCAAACTGTAGGAGAGGAAGTTTCGGTTAGATATTAGGAAGAGGGTTTCCCTGTGAGGGTGGTGAGACACTGTCCCAGGTTGCCCAGGGAGGCTGTGACTGCCCCGATCCTGGCAGTGTTCACAGCCAGGTTGGCTAAAGCCTTGAGCAACCTGCTCTGGTGGGAGGCGTCCCTGCCCAGGGCAGGGGATTGGGGTTGGATGATCTGTAAGTTCCATTCCAACACCTAAAATTCTATGATTCTATGATTCCTATCCTCAGTGTGAGAGAGGGGATAGTGATGGGGTGAGGATAGAGCTAGTAGGACAGATGGGAAAATTACCTTCTGCTTGGAATGTAGCAGGGAACTGTTTGTCACCTTTCTTAAACTGGCCAACACTACCTAGGGTCTCCAAACCCAAGTAAGAAACCACATTCTGAACAATCTCAGGGCATCCTCATGAGCACCAGCCCATGGCCATGGTATGCAACCAGGCCATGTAGAGGCTGAGCCCTTGCCTGGCTCTTGGGGTGGAAGCACCATCCCAGTGCCTTGCCATTCTATTTTAAGTCCTTCAAGTGATGGTGACTCAGGTCATGAGTCTCCATCTGCAAACCCTTCACTGCATAAACAACACTTAGTCCCTTGGGGTTGTTTAATGGGAGGAAAGCAATGTGAGCCAGGAGGGACAGCACTGTGGAGAGAACTGGCCATCCCAGAGCTGGAGCACTGCCTTAGCAGGGAGGGGACAAACCCAGAGCCCCTTGCTCAGCCTGGATCCTGCCCAGGGCAGTCAGCTCCTGAGGGTGCTCCTGGTGATGGGATGGCAGGGCACAGTCTCTGCTTTCACTCACGGTGACCCTGGCATGGCTTTCCCAACCCTCCCCACTCCCCTCCCCTCTGCAGCTCCTGGGACAGTGGTTCTACATCGCTGGCGCCACCAGGTACCCCCCTCACCTGGAAGAGATGAAAGCAGTGAAATATGAGGCTTTTTCCTTCTTTCCTGTCAACCATGAGGACGAGCTCAATGTCACTGGATTCATGAGACTGTAAGGACTGGGATTCACCCCCTCACTCAGCTACTCCCATCCCCATGGGCATTTCCATCCTCTGGGCAGAGACATCCCCACAAATCTGGGGCTGGAGAGCAGATGTGCTACATTTAAGCTCTGCACTCCTGCTCTAGTTCTGAATCCCTCGGATTTGGTTGTGGCAGTCTTGGGGGTGTTTGCTCCATCTGCCCTCTCATCCCTACAGGAATGAGACGTGTCTGGAAAGGAACAGCAAGGTCCATGTCTTCCTGCAGAACTCCACCCTGATGCATGGTAAAGCTCCAGATGTGGCACTGGGATGGGATGGGGGTCACACCCTCCTACTTCTGCCCCCCAGTATTTGGCACTTTGAGTCCTTTTACACCTAAAATCATGTCTGGGAGTGAGGAGGAAAATTGTTCGACCCCACACAACAGGTATGCAGTGCTGTGGGACCAGACTAGTCCCTACTGGGATGAGTTTCCCAGGGAAAGGAGATGAGCAGCTCCTGTCCCAGCTCAGGGTGATGCTCACCCATGGGGACCCCACTCTCTCCCTGCCTTCCAGTGGATGAAAACCAGGTGCGATGCTCACCCGTGGGGACCCCACTCTCTCTCTGCCTTCCAGTGGATGAAAACCAGGTGGTTTCCGTGGCCAAAATGATCCAAAGTGACAAGGACCTGCTGATCCTGAACCACACCAACATCGACTTCCCAAGTCTGAGCCTCTCAGGTGAGTGGATGCCACCCAGATCCATGGGGCACAGCCATGCTCATGGACAAACCAAGGGGCAGGAACATCCCTAGGCCTTGCAGGCAAGGCAAAAATCCCCTTTTTCCCCAATATGGAGAGGGAAAAATGGGGTGCCTGCACTGTGGGGACCACCTAGGAGCAAAGCATCCCTAAAACTGTCCTTTTTTCCTTCTTCATTTCTCTGACAGCACGGACACCCAATGTGAGCAAGGAGCACCTGGAGGAGTTCAAAGCTCACCTGCACTGCCTGGGCTTCACTGAGGAGGAGGTGCTCTACACTTCCACAGAGGTATGAACCCCTGCCCAGGGTGGATGAGCCCCAGGGCACCTTCTGCCACCAGCTGGGATGGGGATCCAGGGTGGGTGTAAGTTTGGTTCCCCACTGCTGCTTCCCCTCTGTGCATCCCTTCTCCTCCTGGAGCATCCAGCCTGGCCTTTCCTGGCAGTCTGGGGGTGAAGGACCACCAGCAGCCACTCTCCCATCTCCCATAGGATGCCTGTCCCCAGCCCGAGGAGAAAACGGCTGAAGGTGATGCAGATCCAGAGCTGCAATAACCCCATGGACGAAATGAGCTGCTCCATCCTCATACTCCTCCAGTCCCCCCGGGTTCACCACACCCTCAGGACTTTCTATCCAGATTTTATTTTTTCCTCACAGATTAAACACTCAGTTTTCCCCTGTTCTCACCCGGACCTGAAATAAAACCTCATGTTACAATCTCCAGTTGCTCTTGCTCCATCCTCTCTGAGACCACATACAGGATCCCATCCTGCCTGCCCTGCCCATGGTGCCACATCTCCAAACCTGCCAAGAGATGTGAAAAGCCCCAGACAAAACCCAGCCAGGCCAAGTGTGGCAGCAGGCACGGAGATGCTCATCTCTCCTGCCAGATCTATGGTGGCAGGGAACCCTTCCAGCCTCTGAACATTGGGACATGAGCACTCACTCATCAGCCTTGACCCCATGGGGAGACACACAAACCTGCCAACCCCCTCAGGTCTCCTCCACCACAATTCTTCTTGCACCTGAACATCCCACCTTCAATTTTCAAGCCAAATTCCACGAGGTTCCATCTTCACTGGGGTCTCGTGCAGGGGTCACAGTGGGTTGGGGTGACAAGGGGTGACATTGCACATTTCCTGAGTGTCTCTGAGCAGGGGAAAGGGGAGAGGATGAGGAAAACCAGGTTTCCTCACTGGCTGTCCAGGGTCAGACCAAGGGATTTGGGGAGGCTCAGCTATGGGAGAGGGAAAGGTACACAGAAATAACATCAGAGATGCAGGTCCTGCCCTGCCTGGTGGGTCAGGATGGCATGGGATTCATGCCATGGGATCTCCCCCATTCAGTGGAATGGGGGGATCAGGGAGCTGCCACAGGGCATGTGTCCAGCAGGATGAGGGTGACCTTCTAGGGCCCATCAACTCCATTTTTATGTCCAGTTTTGCTAAGAACACCTTCCCCTCTCTTTGAAGCCTCCCTGAGCTTTGCCTGAGGTCGGGGGGCTGCAGCCCAACCAGCACTGGGGGGGAATGCACAGTACCTCATTAGCAGAGCAAGAGGCAACTACAACAGCTGCTTTTTTTTGGTGGGAGAATGGGCAAATTTAGGCCAGAATTCACTTTTAAATGTGGCAACTGCAGTTCCCCCATCACCAGGAGGCCACATTTATCAATGTTCACCGGCAGTGGCCACAGCCAAGGTCAGGACAAGCGCCAAGTTCAATGCCAGGCACATGACTCTTCCCTGGGCAACAGCCCTAAAAGGTATCTGTTGCATCACGAGTGTGGAGCTAGCAGGTCTGGGCACATCCTGTCCCCTCCCAGCAGGGCTGCAAGAGCCAAGAGCCACGCAAGCACAACCGTCTGCCCAGGGCTGCGCTCGCTCTGCGCGTTCGGGTGGACATGGCCATGGCCAGAGTTGGTATCATCCTCAGCCTCAGCCTCGTGGCACTGCTGCCTGCAGATGCCTCCCCCTGTGGACCTCTGCGCCCTGATGGCACCACAGCCTCAAAGGTAGGAGAGACACGAGCCCTAGGGCGGGTTGCCCAACTTCTGCAGTGAGTTTGTGGGTGTCCTGCTACACCTCACTGTCCCCTGGGAAAGGGGAACACTCCTTGCTCCCCCAGCACTTCTATTGAGGTGCCCTCAGCAAAACACCTGCAATGGGCAGTGTTTGCTTTCCAAAAAAACATCATTTGAGGTGTTCTCATGGTGCCCCAGCAAGTGCCAACAGAGACACTGAAATGAGGTTGGCTGGGTGGGTTTTATTGCCAGTTCCCTGTGACAGCACTGAGCTGCCCTGACCCTGCTGCACCACCCAGAGCACCCACAGCATCTTTCCCAATCCTCACTCAGCTATGTCGTTTCCCCCTAGTGCATTTGCAAAGGTTTCATCTTGCTGCTGCCTTATGATGCAAGAGGGAGAACTAGCAGACACCAATTTTGTCACTGGAAGGGTGGAAATCTCCTTCCCAAAGATTCCCCTGCAAACCCAGCAGCTCTCAGCACTCTGCCCCTGTCTCCACACAGATGCTGGGGACGTGGCTGTACGTGGCTGGGGCTGCCCAGTTCCCCCAGCACCGCCTGGAGATGCTGCTCATTGACCATGCCTACCTGAACGTGGACCCACTGGAGCAGCAGCTGCTCATCACCCACCGCGTGGCAGCGTAAGATGTGGACCCCAAGGCTCTGCCCACCCCATGCCCTTCCACCTGCTGCAGCCCCCACAGCCTTTCAGCACAAGACACGAGCACAGTTCCAGACTGACTGCTCCACAAAGAGTCTCTCCTGAGTGCTCTGCGCATCCTCTCCCATCTCCTCTGCTCCTCACCCCCTTTATTTACTTCTTGATGTCAACAGCTCCCAGGGAAAATGCCTGAATTTTAACAGTGAGAGCAATTAACCCTGTGGAGGAGTTGGCAGGTGGGTGGTGTGGGGCTGAGACCAGGGCTAGGGCTTTGCTGGTCCTTTCTAGCCCATACATCCCCCACTGCATCACCCCCTTCCCCTCTCCCTCTCTTTCCAGGGGGAACCAATGTCACTTCAACAACCTCACCCACTTGGAAATTGAGCCTGGTAACATGGCACTGGTGAAGGATGGTGAGTACAGCAATGGGGTTATCACCCAGCCCATGTTTTGCAGGGACTGAGACATGCAAAGAGCCCATAACCATGTTCTACATCACCTGATGCATTTTATTTCCATGTTGCTTTGCCTGTTCGAAGCCTTGCAGGGCTCTGACCCCAGGTCAGCCCTGCTCCCGGGGCACCCCAGGGGTTTCAGCCCTGACATCCAGCCACACTAAACCCCAGAGGGCAATGCTCTGCTGGGAGCAAGGAACAAACCTGTTCCCTACCCTGCAGGAAAAAAAAGGTTTTGTTTGTGAAGTTATTTCACAACCCCTCGGGGAGTGAAGGGAACACTCCTGGCAGGTTTCAATGAAATAATGAAGCCTCTTGTTCTGAATTGTTTCCTCCTCGTTGAGGAAATGGGGTGAACCATGCAGGGTGGGAATTGAAATCCCCTGGGGTACAGTTTGCACTGACCCAGCCATATCAGCATTGCTGGGAGCAGGGAGCAGTTTCTCCCTGGTTTTGCAGCCCCCCAAGCTACAAGGTCAGGCACTCAGGTCTGGGAAGATTCCTCATACCCTGAGCCCCAGCACACCAAATCCAGCACATTGCAAGGGTAGGGCAGGAGCTGAGTGACTTTGGCTCCCTCACACCTTGGCCCCACATTTAAGAAATAGAATTCAAATAAACCAAGGGCTAAAGAAGTTGCCCCATGTCAGGGCATCTGTCCTCGCCCACTGCTGAGAGCTGGTCCCAGGAGCTAATGGCATTGCCCACACCTGGGCTGGGGTTAATTGCTGCAGCAGCAGTGAAAATCTGAGCACAGTGGCAATTCCTAACTCTGATGCTGTTCTCTCCAAGCCAAGACCCAGAAAATTCAGGGGATGCTGATGAACCTCAGCTCTGAAGATCTTTTGCTCGTCCAGTACCAAATGGAGAGGGAAAGGACATACTTGGGACAATATCTGTACGGTAGGCAAACTCCATCCTAAAGGAACTTGAAGCTATCACAGGACACCAAAACACACGCACAAAATTATCAGCTAAAGCCACACAAGCAACTTGATTTCACCAACAGCCAGTAACTTTCCTGAGAATGCTGTTCCAGGGGTCACAGGAGCATTTACAAACCCCATTGAACTCCACATCACTTGGCAGAACAGAAAGAGCAAGTTAAAGACCAAACCCACTTACTCCATAAATATTCAAAGAACAGGAAGCAAATACAATTCAGCATCAGGATAATTGTAAAATCTCAGTATTTTCAAAGCCAACCATGACATTTCAGTGCTTACTTCCCAGGACAGAGCACTTGGCTTTGCAGTGTCAGCACAGGCAACACTGATTAGATCTACCCACACCATAAAGCAGTTTAGACCCTGGTAAGGCTTCTCATCACCCTGCCAGGCTGCAAAGAGTTGATTAAGAGTTTGAAGACATATGAAGAAAACTGCCTCATACTCAGCCTTGGAGCCTCCCAACACTCCTGGGGTATCAAACTATACTGTGACCCCTTAAAGCAGACAGGACTGGAGCTGTCTGGGGAGAGGATTAAAAGAAGTGATGCCTGAGGTTGTTTTTGTTCAGGTGTGTTCACCATGGGGGTGAGAGCCCCACACACAGACCACATCCACAGCAAGCACTGGTGGGGAAGGGAGGCACCAAGGGCATGGCACAAAGGGCCATTCCTCGTCCATAATTAACACCTGGCAAATATTTCTTTTCCAGCCAGGAACCTGAGCATCAGCCCAGCTGACAAGGAGGAATTCGAGCACCACGTGGAGTGCCTGGGGCTGAGGAAGGAGCAGATAGTGTATGCTCCTTGGAGAACGGTAAGTGGGTGAGGGTCAGGAGAGCCACTGCAGCCCCCACTCCAGCCAGGGGTGCAAGACCTCAAGCTGCAGCTCCAGCTGCCAAACTGGGGGCTTGGAGAGACATTTTCAATGTGGTGGAAGCTATTTAGGGGCTAAATAAATGCAGGCTGCCTTCAATGGAGGTTTAAAACGACACCCCCTTGCAGGTAGGTGACTCCCCAAAGCAAACACTTGTACCAGAGCATCTCCAGGGAGAAACCTGGGAACTGCCTGCCTCCCACTGCCAGGGGACAGGATTTTTGCCCTGAAATTCCTGATTTTGCCTTGAAACTCCTCATTTTGCCATACCCACCCCTGCCCAGCAGAGACCAGCTGCTCCAGGAGCTGCAGCAAGGGGCAAGAGAGACTGCTGTCCTTGGGACTTTTTTCCTCTAGATTTTCCATCAAAAAATTAACCAGACTCAGCCCTTGCCATCTGATTTGGGACATTTAGCCAGTTGGACAGGGGCTCCCTTTTGCAAAGTGAAGGTGAAAAATAGCTTACTGTTTCCTGTTCCATCCTGGCCATCTGCTCATCTATCTCAGGGGACTCAGGGGTGCCCAAAACCCCAACCAACAGCCAGGCTGGAGCCAACATTGCCCTCAACATCCTTCCAGCCTCGAGGGGCTTCTTTTAGAACTGTTCTCCACAGGTTCAGGGGAACTGGGGACAAGACACAGGCAGAGGGTGAAACCCTCATGGTGGATCTGGAGCTGGGGCCAGTTAAGACCAATGAGCAGCACCTGGGAGGCATAGCCCAGCTCCTCCAAACTAACCACAGGCAGCTGTGACCAAAGGGATGGCAGAGGTGTCTGGGTCACATTTCAATTTAGACAAGGTGAATGAAGGTTAGAGAAAGGCAAAGGGAGTGGAAGAAGCCAGAACTGTCTGTCCTTACAAACTTTGATTCAAATGCTGTTGGCAGAGAAGGGTTTTGTGCCCAGCCAAGGCAGGACACTGCCTTTTACTCTGAGGAGTAAAAAAACCAATTAAACAAACACAGGAGGTTTCGGGGACCTTTGTTATTGGGCTGAAAGGGATGGATGTGCCCAGAGCACCAGAGCAGACTCACATACCCCTCCATCAGCCCGAGGCACTAGCAGAACTTAACCCATGCTGAGTGCCTGGGCAGCACAGGCTTTTAACTTATTTTCCCAGAAATTTTACTCCCTCTTTCTTTCAGCACACACTTACTGAGCCCCCAGCATAGCACAGCTTTGCTTCAGAAATTTGGTTTCCTCTTTCCATCACAGGCTTGGAAAGTGGCACCAGCAGTAACCCCTGGGCAAGCAGTGTCTGGGGCATTGCAGGGAAGCCTGGAGCTTCCTTCAGCCCCCTTGGACTTATCATCAGCTACAAAGGGAAAGCAAAATAACTTCTTTCTTCAGTAAATTCTCTCTTGCAGGTGCCTTGGTAGATTCATTTATCCTGTTCTTGTTGTTTTGACAGGACCTGTGCCAAATGAAAGATGAAAAAGGCAGCAGCCCCCGCACGGAGCCCACGGCTGCAGTCACAGCATCACCTCCTCCAGGCTCCCCCCAGCCTGGGAGCTCGGGGAACTGACCCAGTGTTGGGCAATAAATCTTTCTTTGAATTCCATGCGGTTTATTGCTGAGTTGTTGAGAGGCAGAGGGTTGTGAAGAGCTCAGAAATAAAGCTTGCAAAAATAAACCGAACACCCAATTCACCTTGTGTGTCATTCAACTAGGAGTCAAGCTAGAGCTTCACACCAAGCTTGGAAGAGACTGCCAAATGCAGCAGTAAGAGAGGCCAACCAGGAGAGGGCAATCCTTAACTGTTTTAAATGTGAGTCCCAGGCGTGTGAGGAGTTATCCTAACTGTACAGCCTGGAGAAGAGGGTGCTTAGCTAGAAGCAACCACCCAATTCTCTTGACAGCAGCTTGACTGCCACGTAGCCCAGCTGGGGCAGATGTTCCTGCCCAAACTCTTTGGTCTGAATGAGCTCTCCCTGATAATGGTCATCCACAGTGAGGTTTGCACACAGTGTGACTGACAAATTATCCTCCTACCAGATGGAAGGGTGCTAACCCAACCCAGGCTGGATTTTTTACTTTCCCAGAGAAAAAGGTCATGTTTTCTCAGTAAGCTCAGGTGAGAAGGTCCAAGGGCCAAGGCTGACGTTGCTCCCTGTGCCTCTGGTGCACTCCTGCACTCGTCAGGCACCTCACACATCCCTTCTCCCACCCCCAAAGGGAGGACAGCACTGTCACTGCCTCTGTCAGAGTGGGGGAGTTTAACAAGAGGCTGCTGTTGCTGCGTGTCTGGAGAGTAATTCAGGCTCAGCTCTAACCTAGTAATTAAGCACTGAAAATATCTCTCTTCCTTAAAAAGGAAGAAAATGAGACAAGCCAGAGGGGAGGCAGCAGCAGCAACGAGCTCCACTCCTCCCTCTGCAGCTCCAGGGTGCCCTGTCCCTGCACAGCCTTTACTGGGCAGCGTTTCAGTGTTGAGTCTTTGGACCAATTCCTGGAGCAAAAATGAACAAAATCACAGAATCTTTCAGGTTGGAAAGGACCTCCAAGACCATGGAGTCCAACCTGTGACCAATCATCACCTTGTCAACTAGACCAGAGCACTAAAGTGCCACATCCAGTTCTTTCTTGAATGCCCCCAGGGACAGTGACTCCACCACCTTCCTGGGCAGCACATTCCAATGCCTGGCAACCCTTTCAGTGCTGAAATTCTTCCTGATGTCCACCTCCCCTGGCACAGCTTGTGGCCATATCCTCTTGTCCTGGCACTTACTGCCTGGGAGAAGAGATTGACCTCCACCTTACTAGAACCTCCTTTCAGGTAGCTGTAGAGAGCAATAAGGTTTCCCTTGAGCTTCCTCTTCTCCAGGCTCAGAACGAAGTCCAGTCAAATGCCTCCTGGTCTCAGGGCACAGGTACCTGGTCAGCCCTTGTTTCAGACACCTGCAGCAGCTTGTGAGGTGACACACAACCCCCAGCTGAAGGAGTGAGTGAAGGGTAGGAGAGGGCAGCAGTGCTGAGGGGATGTTGGCAGCAGCCATGAGCACTGCAGTCCAAGAGTGCGTCAATAAGCATCTCAGCTGACACCACTGAGAGCTCACCACTGAGCTCAGATTACAAGGACCCAGACTTTATGAGTAGATTCACAGCTGAATAAAAGCCTTGAATTACAGTCAGAGACATAAGGAACCAACAAAGCCAGTCTGGCCCTCGCAGCAAGTTTTGTTAACCAAATCAGAGGCCACTTGCACTACTGGCTGTGGCCCCCAAAATGACCTTCAAGGGTAGCTTGTGGTTGGGTTGTTATTTCAGAGGAGAATTGTACAAAGTCTTTATTTTGAAAACCCTAAGCTCCAGGTTATTTCAAGGGCATAATTGGACTGCAGAGCTTCCAGTTTTTCTGGGAAATTCACTTCCCTGAACAGTGTTATGGATACTGCAGAGATGAGCAAAGTCCAGCAACACTCAGAGACAGGTAAACAGTGTCTGAACATCCCTGACTCATCACCACCACCATTAGCCTTGCTGGCTTTGCACTTCAGAATTCTGTTCTCCCAAGTCCTCAGAGGGAGAATCCTTCCCAGTCTCAGGATCCTTGGTGAGGATCATCCCAGGAAGAGTCTGGCCATGAACAGCACCAATAAACCGTAGAGAAAGAGATGCAAACACACAGTATCTCTTTAACAGACCTTTATTAGCAGACTGTTCCCTACATGAAGAATCCGAGTTAGATTTGCATTATAACAATTTGTGGTTACAGCTACAAAGATGGTTGTCATTTTGCATTGATTTTTGCATTCTGATATTCATATTCTCATTAGGCCACACTGGTAGGAAGGAGCCACTGCAGAATTTATGACAGGTCTCAAGATGAGGGGGGTGGAAAAAAATCATGTCACTAATCCAGATTGGGTAGATTTCCACATGGTTACTACTGACAGAACTGAGAGTCAAGGCAGAGCCTCACCTGGAGACTCTCCATGAACCACCCAAATCTGTCAGCAAAAAGCAGCTGTTGAGTGCTAGCAAATCCTTTTCCAGTGCCTCACACACACCTCCACAGTGCTCACCTGCATGTGAAGAGCACTGGCACAGCAGCAGGGTCTGCTGATTCAGCCTCGAAGCACAACAGCAGCAGCTTATGTCCAAGTGCAAGTTTCCTTCCATCTCTCTGGAAACATATACTGTCTTTAGTCCCTGAGATTTCTCTCCTCCCCCCCTTACCTAGAAATGCCCCAAGGTCGCTCTTAGTTAGCTGTTGTGACACCAAACATACACACACCTTCTACTTCCGAACTCAGCCATCCACCAAAAGCCTTTCAGCCATGCACAGAGGCAATTCCAAACTAAGGCAAGCCTCAGAGTGCACCCTCTCCCCTAGGTACTGCTTCCTCACCTGCTCCCTTCTCTCCTATGGCTTCTTGCTACACAATTTCTCTGGGCTGAGGTCCTCCAGCAACAACCCCAGACGTGGGAAAGGCAGCTCAAGCCCCAGAAGGGAGGTCCACCAGTGATTTTAGTGTCCCTCCCCACGACTCAGCTGTGTGATGGTAACAGAACTAAATAGAGAACTTTTTTCAAACAGGAGAAATACAAGCACAGTAACAATATTTAAACAAATCTATAAAAATAGTCTGACATAACTCTGTTCAAATAAATACAAAATAAATATGCTTTAAGCAGTAAAACAGTGGAATGCAACACTGGTCCATTTTGCCCAAAATGAAGAGTTGGATGAGGATCTCCCAGGCCTCAAAAGCCAGATCCCATGAACTAAAGCAGCCCACAATGCAATCAGAGAAATTTTAAAGCCATCTCTTTCCC